CCTTAACCCCACTTACACCTACTTTTCCCTCACACCCTGAACCCCTTCATAAATGTTACTTTGCTCACACTCCAACAGCACGTCAAGTATTAAAAACCATTTGTCTCCATTCACTCCTATCAAACACGCTCACGCTCATGCTTAACAATTCACAAACAGGCGAAATTATTTGCAGCATTATCTCTTAGTCCACAGCAGGCATCATAGTACACAGTACTTTGTCCACAACGCTAAACTCCATAAGCATGGGTCAAACCATACCCCGGCCGGGATTGAACCCGCTGTCAGAGAGTCTCAAAACTCCAGCCCGAAGCTAGACGGTGTTTCCCCATACCCGGAGCACCAGGCTTGTTCAAAGTTATTTGAACATTGTGTGGACACGGACTAGTTAAATCTTCTGACTGACAGTTCTACAATAAGGACCTTAAATAGTCGTGACTCTGGTCCTCGTTATGTATACAGGACCATTAGTGTAGGATAACCTTCTTAGATATTATTCTGTATTTAATATATTTATTGTTATCGAGCATATAGTACCAATTATGCCATATTATTGTCAATTACCTTTAATATTATCGTATATGGGAGTCGTATAATGGTATTTTATATGTGCAGTACCTAAGTTAGGATATCGTAGCTTAAATAAAAACCAGTGCAGTATATGGACCTAAATAAAGAATATTTATATACTAATGAGAGGAGCTTAACTTTTAGCAGACATTAAGCGCCATGAGTAGTGCAAAAAAAATTGATTCTAACTGAACCTCCTCACAGATGTCTTAAATTCGTGTTTTAGTCACGGATATTATTAGTTTCTCTGCCATGAACAGGACGACACTGCTGGCCAGTCCCAGCAGGAGCAGCAGAAAGTGGTCCCTGCAAGTGTACGGTGCTGAGAGCTTCAATGCTGCCGTCTGCTGACTCCGAAATAAGGTCGTTTGTATGCTGCTGATGCTTCAGTTCCTCTCGCTTCTTTATCCGGCTCTGGCGTTTAATGTCAAGCAATATTTCTTTTTCCACTGTTCGTAGAGCCCAGCCTGGAATATAATGTTATTGAAATGCCTATTTTCTGACTATTTTAGATCTGCTAGAAGGAAAGAGAGAGAGATGGACGTTATTCAATCTCAGCTTTCTTAAATTACCTCCGTATGAGCCATGATGCAGCGGTCTAGGTTTGGTGTGTAAGGAGCTCCCTGTGGAATGGGCCAAGCTGAGAGCGTAAGAGCTAAAGCCTCCCATCGAGGTGCGTAAAGTGCTGAGCAGTTGTGAGTTCAATGTACTGATGGTTGTCCACAACTGCTTCCCTGCTTGCACAGGACAAAAATTAATTAGTTTGCACACACACACACACACACACACACACACACACCACACACACACACACTCTGGACAGACTGGACACCTGGTCCAGCAAATGGCTTCTCGAATTTAATCCTGCCAAATGCAAAGTCATGAAGATAGGGGAAGGGCACAGAAGACCACAGACAGAGTATAGGCTAGGTGGCCAAAGACTGCAAACCTCACTCAAGGAGAAAGATCTTGGGGTGAGTATAACACCGAGCATGTCTCCGGAAGCACACATCAATCAGATAACTGCTGCAGCATATGGGCGCCTGGCAAACCTGAGAACAGCATTCCGATACCTTAGTAAGGAATCATTCAAGACACTGTACACCGTGTATGTCAGGCCCATACTGGAGTATGCAGCACCTGTTTGGAACCCGCACTTGATAAAGCACGTCAAGAAACTAGAGAAAGTACAAAGGTTTGCAACAAGGTTAGTTCCAGAGCTAAGGGGAATGTCCTATGAAGAAAGATTAAGGGAAATCGGCCTGACGACACTGGAGGACAGGAGGGTCAGGGGAGACATGATAACGACATATAAAATACTGCGTGGAATAGACAAGGTGGACAAGGACAGGATGTTCCAGGGAGGGGACACAGAAACAAGAGGCCACAATTGGAAGTTGAAGACACAAATGAGTCAGAGAGATAGTAGGAAGTATTTCTTCAGTCATAGAGTTGTAAGGCAGTGGAATAGCCTAGAAAATGACGTAGTGGAGGCAGGAACCATACACAGTTTTAAGACGAGGTTTGATAAAGCTCATGGAGCGGGGAGAGAGAGGGCCTAGTAGCAACCGGTGAAGAGGCGGGGCCAGGAGCTAGGACTCGACCCTGCAACCACAAATAGGTGAGTACAAATAGGTGAGTACAAGATCTCAGTTTAAAACCTCGCGGCAACACCATCTCCTCTTCATTGTATTTTTTCATATTATAAACAACAGAGTTAGAGGCTACAATAAAAAAAATTATTAAAATAGTAGACTTACTTCATCTTCAGAGCTTCGTTGAGTCCGTCAGTAATATCGACTCCAACAACCATCAGCTTTCCTAAGGTGCTGAAGGCACTCGACTCGGAGTTGGTGAAGAAGTTCTTGAAGGAGAGCCCATACGAATCCATAGCTGCCCTAAGTTTGTTTAATAATTAAAAAAAATGTTTTTATACATTAGTTATTAATTATTATAATCAAGCGCTAAACCTGAATGGGTCGTAAAACCCCTGAATTATTATTTATACATTAGTTTTCACAACTCATTATTGGGTCATTAACAGGACTTAAATTACTGTCTAGTATCGAAACACTTCTTTAGGCTTAAGTTGAGGCCTATGAATAAGTTAACCTTCGGCCTCAAATGAAATCATACAAGACACCTCTTTATATAAGCCAACATATATCTTAACGTTAATTGGATAAAGAGAATCTACCTGTTAAAAAATAATATAAACAGAAATATAATCTGAGTGCCAAGATAAATCAGGAGAATTACATGTGAATCGCAGGAATCTTACAACAACTGGGGAATAAGAGGTAATCAGGAGAGCAGTTCCAATTCCGGGATCAAGAGCTCTTTATCAGCACCAAGGCATTTTGAAGGATTTATCTACCTTATTTATCTACATTATTATTGTTAGTATTATTGCTATTATTATTATTATTATTGTAATAAAGTTGGTAGAATTACCGACAATATGTAAAGTAAAAGGACACAAGTGCAACTAATGTGACATTTATTGTGGCAACGTTTCGCTCTCCAGGAGCTTTATCAAGCCATTACAAACATGGACACAGAGGGTATATAAAGGCTCAGAGTGAGGTGAATACTAGTGAGGTACCATTTCGATGTTCACTAGTGGTGGTAGTAGTAGTAGTAGTAGTAGTGGTAGTGACAAAAGTAATACAATATGGTAGAGCAATTAATTCGTACATGAGTAAAAGGATATAAAAGCTATTACTTGGGTAACATAAAAATAGGTTGGACAAATATAAACTGGAATGAGGCAGCTTGTTTCAGTGTTCACTCTCTGTGCTTTGTGTAGTATAACAGGAGAGCCTTAACAGGAGGCCTTGTTGCGCACACTAAGGCACTGCTGTCTTGGCTTTAGATTTCTGCTCACCATGACTCCCAAGTCTTTTTCACATTCTGTATGACCAAGCTCTAATTCACCTAGATTATAGCTTCGAGGGTTATTTTCATTACCAAGGGCAAGTACCTTACACTTATCCACATTAAACTTCATCTGCCATTTTTCAGACCAAGACATTAATTTGTTCAAATCGTCCTGGAGTTCATTGATATCCTTCTCAGAGTGAATTATACGGCCTATCTTTGTATCATCAGCAAACTTATTGTGAACTGCAGTTATAACACTGTGAAAGACCAAAAAAATTGGAATGGTATTTCATATTCCTGCTATTATTTATGTAAGAAAAATCTCGTGAATAAATATAAGCACATGTAACAGCGCATTAAATATCAAAGTTTGTTTGAAGTATAACATTCTGCAGTCCTCCTACCCAATATATATTGATTACATTTTGCAAAATCGTAAATCTTGATCACGCTACTGCAGAAACAAGAGAACAGAAAGTGAAAATTTCAGCTAGAGACCCCTCATCGCCTGAAGACAAAAGAAACTCGAACCCAGATCTATACTTTCCACGTGGAAAGCGATTCAAACACAGGCCCCTTAATCACCTCAGCCAGAGACGCAAATAACAATAGATGGCCATCGGAAGCTAGCCACAGTGATATTACGAGTCTGGTGTTGACCTTTACATCTTGTCCAGCAGCAGATTCAATCCCAGAATCCTATTCTTTGCCTGGGTATAGAGACAAACATTTACACCTCAATCAATTAAGTCACAAACCCTACAAGGCTAACTTCTGCAGGCCGCTTGTAGTTATAATTCTTTTTACTCATAAAACCTAAAACAGAGTTCTTTACCTCATCCCAATTTTCGGATGGAAGAACGTTGAGAGTGAAGTTCAGAGCTTGTGCTGTGGTTGTTATCTGGTTGAAGTCAGTACCAGAGTATCGAATACTATTACCTTCCTGGTTCGTCATCCAGTATGGAGCATAGGGCAAGGCGGTAATGTTAAACATCGCCCTGTGGAAGCTGAGAGTCCACGACCATAGGACGAGTACACAAGAATGTCACTACAACATACTTCAAATCTCTAAACATGCTTTATTTCACATCCGTTTAAAAAGACAACATTATATCTTTATTTAAAAACGGAAAATTAACATAACAAGAATGCTGAAGAAGAGTGATATTAAAAGAAATGTGACCAACGATTGCTCCACTTATAAATGAATATTAATTTTTGTTTCAAGTTGTATATAAAAAAACGACAGTATAAGAAAATGCACTTAGCAAACTTGTCAGGAAAGAGAGGAAAGGAGAGAGGTAGACGAGTCCATGAAAGTGTGACCAGTAAGCCAGGTGCAGCACCTGGCTTGGCTGTGGACTATACGGCAGGTACACGTACAATTCACACCTGCTTTCACATGTAACAAATATTTTAATCTTACAGTCTTTTACTTCTAGCAGTAAAATTGATCGTAATATATCAGAATTTCAACAGGTATTTACGTGTCTGCATAATCTTAGCTGATGACTATTTCAAAAATTATATAACATTACCTTTTGTATGGACAACTATTTTTAGTGAATAAATTTTGCATTCCTTTAGATTCTGTACACCGTATAATATTCAACTCTACAAAAAAAAAATTCTCGGGTGCTCTAAAGAATTGCGAGAAATGGGCTGAATAAGGATCAGGATGCGATTAATGCATGGAGGATAGAGCATCCACCACTTTACGTTGAATGATTAACGCAAATTTAGAGCTTCATGAAATACACTCTAAGAAAGCTTAACCATGAACTAAGAGCTGAACTTTGGCAAGAAATATTCGTTCTTAGATTCATTTCTGCTCATTTATATTTGCAAATGTTAATCACTCACAGTAATGTCTTGAAGTATCTCAGTGGTAGGTCCCCTCCTTCCGAAGTCATCAATATGGCGTTTGTCATGGAAAAAGTCCAGTAGGAGGCTAGGAGGGTCCTGCTCTCTTCAGGAGTAAGGCGAGTTACCAGCAGCAGCCTTGTCGTCCACACTATCAGGCGACCCTTCAAAGACACTTCGGCGAACGCTGCTAAGAAGTCTTGCTTGCTGCTGACTACCACTACCATCACACACCAGGAGATAAGGCGCAGCTGTGAGAAGAAGCGTGGAAGCGCATTTTCACTGCACAACAAATACAAGATAGTAAAGAGTTTATCTCTTCAGCTAAGAGGGACGTAGCTAAAACATTTTTTTTCCATGTGACATACCTGACGAGCTTGGGCGATCACCCTGGTGAGCTGTACTTGAGTCGCGTTTACGTCGTTCTCGCTCCCTGCCACTTCGAACAGACCCACACCCCAGAGAGCCCACAGCTGGTCCAGCTCCTGTTCAGTTTATTAATGCATTTAAACAGGAGTACCACGTGAGCGTATATGTAAACGGGTGGATGTTTACACTAGTGTATTTTGTATCATGTAATCGCAAGTTTTGCCTCTCTTCAATAGCTGTAATAGGAAAGGTACAGTTTTACTGACGACCTTATTTGAACTAAATGTGAATTGGCTGTTGAGCGGTCCGGGAGATGTGTGACTTAAGGCAACCCTCCTAAGCACATATGTCCCAATTGTTCAGTAAACCAATTTGAATGATCCCCTAAGTAACATGCACCTGCTTTGAAAGTTTGGCAAATTGGTAATTTGACATACTCTTCTCCAGGTTGAGGGACTGACCGCCTCTAATCTACGTCTTCAAATGTGACGGACGCACTGATTACATCATCTTTTCATCTCTGCGTTTGCTGCCTCCTGTATCTCAGGAAGCCTACTGTGTAGGCGAAAAGTTTCGTAATATAGACACCTATCACTGCATGTGTGTCTTATCAGCTAGTCAGCATTGTAAACAATTATTACATTCATCGTATAACCATTCCTTAATACCATATAATTTAATTTGTAAATTTACTACGTGATGTGGTTTGTTTTCGTCGTTTTCTTAAATCTTTGCGATATGTCATCCGAAGGGAAAATTCATATGAAAAGTAACTTTAGGTGATGTATATCTGGAGAGGGTTCCGGGGTCAACGCCCCCCCCCCCGGCCCGGTCTGAGACCAGGCCTCATACTCGTAGTTACTAAACCCATATAGAGGAGCTAAATAGCATACTGTCAGCAAGAGTGATGGAGAAATACTTCGCTAAGCAATCTTTTATGGTCTGTAGTGTCTTTTCATGACTGTCTGTCCTCTCCACAAGCCACTACACTGTGTTGTGTTATTCTCCGAGGTTCCTGCTGAACCAAACCATGTCTTACACATGACATTTCCCTGATTACTGTGCTAGGCAAACCTGGTTTTCCTTGGCAATACAATTGTAATTTGTATCAACAGAATGGGAATAAGATACAAAATGCGAGACTATCAGTTTAGATTTTTTTCAGCTATGTCTATTCAGTTAAGCTACACTATTTTTGTTCGTTAGCTGATATTTACTAAAGTGCAGAGTTTCATTTTTATGCAAATTCTGCATATTAAATGGATTGTGCAATGGAGTTAGTTACATTGTGTGAAAATAGAACAAGAGTTAATGTTTGGTGAGCAATCTAACTTTAACTTCTAATCTAGGTTATGTTAGGTTAGACTGAGTTAGGTTTGCTTTATTTTATGAGTTATCAAAGGTTAGCTTATTCTTCTATTCCTACAATATATTTATCACAATACACAACCCACTTAGTATTAAAGAATTTACATCAAAGTCTATCACCAAGCTTGGTAACCTGAAGGTAAAACAAAGATTTACTAATAAGTCTAGCAAGAGAGCTTAAATTGCATTTATTCATGAATTAATATTTTATGTTGACTTTTATATAGGAGCTGAACTTTTAGTTTACCTTTAAAATAGTTATGGAGGAGGTTGTGCCATCTTTGAGGACGAGAGGTAAACATCTCCACTCTGGGATGGCTTGTAATACAGCACTCACTGCCTGGCCCATATCTCACATGACTTCATGTCGGTCTAGTAAACAAAAATTAAAGCATTATGCTCAAACATATAAATACAGGCATTCCATTTTTTTCATGTTTTTTAATATATATTTCCAGACAATTTGGGCATTCAGTATATTATCTCAATTTATTTTTTTTAGGCACGTAATATTAGTGATACTGGGTGTTCATTTTTTTTTCTAAATTCCAGAAGATATCTATCACGAGATTTCTGTTATTTATTGTGTGTTCTCCAACATTAAGTAGGAGTTGTCTTGGAAACAATTATATTTTGGGAGGACAAGGAAAAGGATTTTTTTGGTACTTAATAAAATATGTAACCGAACCTAACCCAACCTAACATAACATGGAATTGAACTCCAAATATAATTAATTAGATTAGGATTTGGTGGGATTATCTTATCGACATTTTTAGTCAAAAAAAAAATGCGTTTTTCCCCACTGGCCCAAAAAATAACTGTCTTCTTTACACAAACTACTAAATACAAAACGAGAAATTTCATAATAACTTGTCGATTAGTTCAAAAGAGAATCTCAACTATATATTAGCCTTCAGAGTTTTAATGGACGTATCGGTGAGCTAGTATCTGATATCAGACGAATTTTTGACATTTTTCTTGACCAACAAAACTCCACCTCATACTACCTTAGGCCTAATCAAAATGTAATATTTCCAATACACATTAGGTGATGTAACAGGAAAGGGTGACTCTAAATGCAAAATAAAAATGTGTTAAATCACCTCAAACAAAAAATAAAATACATCTGACACTACATGTGTGTTGATTTGTAAATTACTGACTTCGGTATAATAAAGACTGTAGATTTTCGAAGGTGTACTAATCTGTAGGGAGAGTCAGGTGAACAGTGTGAACCGTGGTGACAACAGTAATAACCACCACCGTGAACTGTGGTGACAACAGTAATAACCACCACCGTGAACTGTGGTGACAACAGTAATAACCACCACCGTGAACTGTGGTGACAACAGTAATAACCACCACCGTGAACTGTGGTGACAACAGTAATAACCACCACCGTGAACTGTGGTGACAACAGTAATAACCACCAAATGTGAGAACACACGTGGTGTACAACAGTAATAACCACCACCGTGAACCGTGGTGACAACAGTAATAACCACCACCGTGAACTGTGGTGACAACAGTAATAACCACCACCGTGAACTGTGGTGACAACAGTAATAACCACCACCGTGAACTGTGGTGACAACAGTAATAACCACCACCGTGAACCGTGGTGACAACAGTAATAACCACCACCATATGCCATTGCACCACTGCTAGAGTTTATCTTTTTCTGTCTTGATAATAATGGGAACATGTAGAACTTAATCAGAATGCAAATCTCGATTTTATCCATATAGGTTAAATAAATTCTGTAGGATTTCTATAATTCAAATTTATATGTCAACAATACGAAACTTTCAAAAATTTTATCATTGTTCGTGTATGATGTATTTATGAGGTTGATTAATATTAAAAGCTGTAATTTTTGTAAATACCTAGAAAATACATTCGTACAACTTGATTAAAAATGTAAAGAATATTTAATGACTATATGACATCCTTCGTTACTCTGTTGGTGAGAAACAATAGTGAGCGTGCCATGGTAACAGTCTCTGAAGTGTTGTTGAACTAGTTTCTGAAGTACTGGGACAAAACTCTGGTAGTAAACAAACCATACCACGGGCGGGGTTAGAACCCGCGATCAGAGAGTCATAAAACTCCAGACCGACGCTTAGTATCTCGTAACTACTGTATAAATATTAGTAGAGTTTTGCAGAAAGATTATCACGTGCTAATTTTAATAAACATTCAGAAATAAACGTATATATATTTGTTTAACTTTGCAACAGATGTCAGAGAATGTGCGATAGTGACCTCGGGAGAGGTAACATGTCGGGGCTGTGGATGAAAGCAAAATAACATTGTAAACCAAGTGTAAACTCTATTAAAAAACACATTTTACTTCACAATTCTCACCTTTTTGTTTTACGTATATCGAGTAGTCGGTGAGTCTTACATTTTTTCTGTAATACAAGAAAAAACTTTAATGTTTTGTATATAAAACTCGGGTCGTTTTATGAAGAGAAACACTTTTTTTTTTATTTACATTAAGTTTATTGTTTACATGTCATTACATACTTGTTTCATCTCTTAAACTTTATATACTCACATATATTCTGACGCAGGTTTAACGTTTTTTTATGAATATAATATAGTTTTAAGGAAAGCAAATGAAAGTTATTAAATGCTGCAAAATAACCAAGAGATGTAGGAATGAATATTTTTAGATGTGGAATGAAAATAATGACATGGACAGAAATGGTCAAGTATACAACCTGGTGCATGAAACTTACTTATAACATTCACTAGAACTCTGAAGGAGAACATTCATGTACCAGGATATATACACCGAGAGGTGTTTATCTGAGAGTTTACTTTAGTCCCGAAAAGGAGTAATTTTCTCAAAGTATATATACCGAGAGTAAACGTATTCTTGTCTGGTTGTGAAAAGATTACATGTAGCCTTAATGACCCTTGTGTAACTGCACTAATCATCACTTTGAATTGCTATTTTTGGGATTAAAATATTCTTGAGGTAGTGAACTGCTGATCAGCAACCTTAACGACCCCTCGTGTAGCTGATAGGCGGTAAACCCCTTTGACAAACCAGCTCTCATCATAGAACAAGTAGTGGAATACTTAGAAAAGGTAGACACCAGAAATGAAGGAAGTGATTGAAGCTCTAACAGAATGAACGTGGTGAAGTTAACATGGGCGAAAGGTATTTCTGACCGAAATGTTCAAAACGTGTAGTAAGAGTGTTCGAATGGCTGGCGCATTAGTTCGATTTATGCTTGAAGGAGCACACGAACAGTTCCTTAAAAATGGAATATAAAATGGTGCAACTATAATAAACGCACAAATTAATGACTGTCACAGACTTTCCTAACATCCTAGTTGTTGAAACCGTATAAGATTCTGTCTAGTAGTAGCCCAGGAACTGTGCTAGTACTGTCGAGCAACTAGCTCAAATATGATCTCCCCATTACACTAATATTCGTTTTGTACGAATTTTCTGCTCTCTGGTAGCTTACAATATTGAATTTATAAGCGAAGAACTGTTTTCATGCCTTGGTTTCCTGGAGTGATCCTGTTTAAGGTATAGAACATTCACCTTCCGCAAGTTGCAAATCACTTCCGTCGGCTAACACCCAGGAATCAATTTAATAACAGGCGAATAAGGGCACCATATCTAAGGAGACTTGCCCATTGGTTTCGATTCTTCCAAGTTCATTCATTAGCTAAGTTGCTACCACTGATCTGCGATCTCAGTAGTTTTATGTAGAATGAATTTTGCAACACTGTTGGACAAAGTGGGTGCTTAAATCTGGAATGAATGGAAAGAGGCATAGCGGATGCTCAAGTGTGTTTACCGTCGCACCCTCACCAGTTACACAAGGATGTTTACCAATAATCCCGAGTATATGTAGAGGCACAGTTTTTCTACATATTACCAGCGCTGCAGAAATCAGAGGCTCGTTCATTTTCCACCCGTGGGATTTTAATGACTTACTGAGAGATTTATGGTATATAATTCCAAATACTAACTGGTCCACAGTAGTTACTAAGGGTACGGAGCTCATGTACTGTTGGTGGTTGTGGTTGCTTGTCTGCCGTAATGGAACTGTTTCTCGTTAAAGAGTCGATGCGAGACCTTCCATAGTGTGGCTTCGTTGTTAGTGTACCTTCCTTCTGCCAGCGTTGGATCCACCTGTACGCAGTGGAGGTGCTGGCGCCAGTCTTTTGAGAGATGTCACGAGCTGACATGCCTCCTAGCCACATCCAGACGATCCTGGCGCGTTCAGCTTGCCTCATTCTGTGTCTGATTATTATCCTGTCCATCAGGCTACTTCTGTCGATCAAAGATATTGTATATGTATGACAGCGTCTATTTTAACATCTTGCTGTGATTAATTTATTAACAGCATTATTCTCAACGAACAGTAATATAATTTAAATATTCACTATTTTTTTTTTTACACTTTTAAGTCTTATATATCATTCTCGTATAAAATAGTGGAGTTTAATATTTCCACTCCTAAAGACGATCCTTTTAGCCGACTTTCTCTGGGCCAGGAATCTCTGTTCTTTCTATCTTTGTCGTCTGGTCGCCCTGAGTCTCGAAGTCATATTTTGCCTTTTCACTAACGTTTCGGAACAAAATATTTTCGATAAAAACATACCAAATACTTCCAGATGTGTGTATGTGTGTGTGTGTGTGTGTGTGTGTGTGTGTGTTGTGTGTGTGTGTGTGTGTGTGTTCCTAAAAAAATATCCTAAGAATATTCCTTCATGTGATTTGTTTCGTTATCAATAATGTTTTTATGATTTCGCGAGTTAATAAATTTTTTTTTTTTGCTAGCCAATTATAACAGCAGAAGTCGAACATATTTAATATAGCTCAAAGCTCAGGTGTTTACGGTTTTTAATGTGTGATGGGTAACACGATCACACTGGGTTAAGTAGACCAAGTTATACCATCCCTTAAAGATCTCCGGTATGACTAATACATCCACTGATCTTACCACTACCATTATTTATTTTTAAATGAAATCAGCCGAGGATTACGAATTTCTACCCCCTTTTATTATTCGTGTATAAAACTCGGTTATTGTAAGATATCAGACTGCAAAACCTATATAGGAAAGACTAAGAGAATATTGAAGATTTTATACCCCTGTAATACCTAGACTTCTAACACAGAAAAAATCCTACAATACTACAATCTTCTCTATTTCTCTATCAGAGAAATGGAGAGAGAAAAGAGAAATATAGAAAGAGAAAGAAAGTAGGGGAATGAAAAAAGAGAGATAATGAGAGACTGTGTGGAGATGATAAATAATTATAAAGAATTAAAAAATCTTACAAAAAGAAATAATAGTCATATTTTTAGACTAATGATAACGTCATTACATAATTAACAGTCATACATATATTTTAATCAGTGATTTTAATTATGTCAAAGACGCACTAAAGTCTAGAATAGTTTATAGTGACAGACTAACAATAAATTTTAGCGAAAATGGCATTATGATTCTTGAAAATAATTCTTAATGAAGTTATATTTTCCTAATCTTCCAGCCAAATCTTTTACTGTATTCTACAAGAATATTTCCGTCTCGGACAATATTCCCAGAGATTACTGACTTAGCTCACAGTTACAGAATAGTTGAACTCTGACAAAGGTACTCATAGCTACGTCAAAGTACTGACGACCACAGCAGACTAATGTACATAAACACCACAGCATAGTACTGTACTGACAAGTGCACCAGAGTGCCCATAGCCACATCTGAATGAGGTACTGCCACAACAGATTATGCTATGCACAGCCTAGGTATAGTGAGACTTACTGCTACAGTAGAGTCAGGTACTCACTGCTACAGCAGAGTCAGGTACAAGCAGCCACACAAAGCAAGGACTGTCAGCTGCAGCAGTTCCTGGCAAAGTGTTCACAAGAGCCTCTCATTGTATATATATATAAACTTCAGTTAGAGACGCGCGCAGCCGCAGAATTCGAGAATCCTTTGCACTGGCTTTCACTGTTGATCTATTTAAATATAATGTGACTTTGTAAAAAAAAATTATTTTTGCTTATATAATTATTTTTACTTAAGAACTGTGATTACCTTAATGTAGTATATCACTTCTAGAATGCAACTCACAACATACCACTAACTCACAGGTACCTATTTACCTCCGGGTGACCTAAAGTGTACGAAACTCTGTCCGCAAGTTTCACTCAGTCCAAAAATTGCTTTAGTCTTTACATTGTTTAAACATATTTCGCTATTTTAATATGTATCAATTTTTTTCTATATTCTTTCGTATATTAGTGTCAGAATAAATTTTCTGTGCTATTAAAACATAAAAGAGAACTTCCTTCTTCATTATTTCAAAGTGTATAGAGTGTGAGTAGTTGTGCAGTTTAAAAAATAATGAAACAATATTTGGTTTCGTCTCATTTTGAGAACGAGAGAGTATTTGAGAAGTCATTTAACTTAATGAAGGGAAGGTTTAGCTTTGTGTTAATTAGGACTTTAATATTACTTTGGCAGTAAGCAACAGCAAGGAGGCAAGTTTGATACTGACTTAATATATTCGGGATATTAGATTTCCCATACAATAACATTAGCTAATACTTAAATTTTAATACGACTATCCTCACTTAGTCAAGTTCTTCCTGGGGTACAAATACGTACATCATATTGCATTTTTATAACGTTGTTAACCGTGTTGAATTATATTTTTTCGAAAATATTAAGTACATTAACACTTTCAGAAACTGATATAAATCTTGGCAGCTGTTATGAAATATATGAACACATCAGTAGTCTAAGAAAAAAAAATCCTAATTTTCTGTAATCAAATTGTCTTATATTCAGTGCCTTGCTGGCTACATTTACCGGCCAGTCATTTCATATTAATCAATATATTTCCTGTTTATTTCCTCTTTTCTGCCTGATGCAGTTATCAAAGCTCATGCTCATTGTGTTAAGACTTCAACATTTTGTTTAGTAATGTCCATGTTTGCTCAGATTTCCACAGTTGTGATATTAAAGGCGTTACCGAGGACAGGAGCGGTAGTGAGCTTGGCTAGGATCTCACGGCTCCATCACTCTAACCCGAGGTTTGGCGTTGCTGGGGTATGGAGCGCCACTGGGCAAGGATCTCTGCTTGTAGGGTGAGGAAGGCAACTGCTACACCCAGAAGTAGCACATAAAAGGCGCCCTGCAGGTGGTTCAGCCTAGTACCACCTCTCTTGTTTCATCCTGGAAAATGAATTATTGCATAACTGCATGAACGTAAATCACTAAAGCGGTTAAAAATTCTCTAATAGTCATATATGTCATGCCTTTTCACTCTAGTTTCATCCACACTTCGCATGTAGTGTAAAATAGGTGGCGTTCGTCGTGTGGGCGAAAGAGGTCTAGAAGTAGGTCAGTAGGTAACCCTTACCGATGAGGTGTGTTCAAGATCAAACTGAGGGTCAAGTGCTGCAGCCTCCCTATTGTCCTTCACACGTCTGGCTATCACGTCTTCTGTCCAGTAGCTGGTGATGCCGGCTGCTTCCAGTCGCAGCATCAGCTTACTAAAACGAGAGTAGAATGGCGCGCCCTTTCTGCAGCAGAGATTCACATAATCAGTATTTACTGAGATACAGACCTACATTGTCTTGTGAATGTGCAACCAAATCCAGTCTCGCTTATGCATAGCAGTTGATTCAGTACTGACAAACGAGAGAATCTGAAAAGGGTTAGAATTAAAGGAATTTCCGTGTGTGATGGAAAACAATTATAAATCTCTAAACACACTAGCATTTTAACATTAACTTTCTTGTATCCTCATCAATAACATCAATAAACTTGGGTAATCAAACACTGACTCATTAGACTATTCTGTGAAAGTAATTAGCTCCATCACTCACCCCTACTATCACAACTACTCGCCTGAAGCACCAGCCCAAGTTGGCTAAGACATAAATGCCTTTGTTGCTGATAAAGAAGGGCGTGTGTCCGCGGGCGTCTGTGAAGCGAGATGCAACAATGACGCTGACGTAGCTCCTGAACACTATCAAGGAATAATGACCCACCAGCACCTTCTTCAACGCTTTCTCGGTGTCCAATACCTGTTGTATGTAAATGGGTGCTTATGAAACACATTTTCACACATTCACATGTTTTTTATATATGATTATGCTCGTAAATTTTACCACTTGTTAATCTCTGATATGCTTTGGATGATAGTGTTGTTTGAACAGGTATTAATTTCATTTCTTTGTAAATATTTGTTAATGGATGAGAAAATTCAAGGTTCTGTAAGACACTTAGTAAATTTGTTTACATGTTTGATAAATATACACAAATATTACAAAATGAATTGCATCTTTCATGAAAACTATTGGGAATTGGTTTTACATTATATATATCAGAACTTATATAATTAAAAAAATGTTAATTGTAACATAGATCCGGTATAGAATTGTTTGGACTGGCCTCCATTTTCTGGTTTATTTCCTTGACCACTGGGTCGGTGTGCTTTGAGAAATACTCGATAACTGCTCCCTTGTATAGGCTGCTCTCTGTGCCCCACTTCCAGTTGTGTTGTTTAAGGATGTCTTGAAGGGTCTCCAGAGGCGGGGAAGTTCCCTGGACCGTAAGGTGAGCGACCAGAGAGGAACTGTACCCAGTAGTGACGACCAGACTGAACAGCAGCCACCATCCAACCAGTACCTGCAGTGGCAAATCTTTGCTAGCAAGCTCCAGTAGCGCTCAATCCTCATGTTTTCTGCCTCTTTCTCAGAAAAAATGCTAAGAAAAGGGCACTTGCGTGCAGCGTATCAACTTATTGTTATCTACAGCTTTCACTCATATTATCATACTAATGTCAAATCTATGGATCTATTGTATTTATTTTTTAACTTATTGCATTCAGCATTTTTTTATCGCTTTAGTTATAAAGATCACCCACTTGACCGGAGACATTAGTGGAAGGATCAGGCGGTGGTTGCCCTAGCAGCACTCCCCAACCAAACATAATAACAGTTTTAAACTTGACCTCACGTCCTGATACCACCCACTGCCATGCTCTCAGCAACAGCCACATGATGACGCTCCACACCACTACGCTTACCAGAAGTGCCACCCACAGCTCACCTAAGAGACGAGTGAGCGGCATGTTACGCCATTAAGTAACAGATAGACAGGGGAGAAATGTGAATATATTGAGTTCTGTCAGTATTTATTCCTACCACACTGACCAGCAAAGAGTATTTTTTCAAGCAATGGTTGCATTGCATCAGTCAGTGACTACTAAGCATTTCTACACTAGTTTATTCATGGCGAAGGTTGTCCCTTCACTGCTTATGAGTACCGAAGTGATTCACGAAAAGACAGATTTGTTGTCCCCACCTGTAAAAGGCCTCACGAACGAGAGGTACTGAGGCAGAAGTGTAGGCTTTAGTGATGCCACAACCATGAGGTCTGAAGGATATCCTCTAGCATACTCCACAGTCATGAGCCGCTCTGGTGTGGGTGCTGACTCCGTACAGAAATCTATTTCCTCACGCTGAAGGTGACCAATCATCCCGTTGAAGACGCCGTTGTTCCACACTCCCCAGGAGCGCTCTGGGTCCTCACGAATATCGTAACTATCGGGAAAGCAGATTCAGACACTTGTTGAATCTGCTTATTATTTCCAGAATCAATGTTAGACAATTAAGATAGATAATACTTGTAGTTATTTATGAATATTATGCAACTAATCTCTTGCATTGTTATTATTATTATTATTAAAATGATATTCATACCGGTATCCAAAAATTTGTTTTATTTAGACGCTGAAGGAAATTATTTTTGTTTTAATACTAATGAAATAAATATTATTATTTATTTTATTTTATGATGGGAGAGCGGTAAATCCTCCCGGAGTCATAGAGCGTCTGGGGAGTGCATTTATAATTGGATCAAGAGCCTTTCACAGTGTTTTGATTATATTCCTTTACGAGAACAATCGAGCTTCTGCCATTCCTTGCACTGAATGATCCTCACGGGTTTATCGCACCAAATAAACTTTCAAATGTTATTCCTTCTAAAAAAGTTCAACACGCTGTTAAAACTTATATTAAAATATACAGAAGAGTAACAATTCTCACGTGAAGTTTAATTTAGTGGAGAAAGTGGAGAGGAGTCTTGTATCTAGTGAGTCCTTTAGTGTGACTCTGCTACCCGGTTCATTGCTGTCCATCTTGTAGTCAATGTAAGGGAAGTACGCCACAGTCCCCACCCGGAACTTGTGTCCACTGAAGTCTTGAAGCTGATCTGAAGTGCACAGTTATTGCTCATTAAACGCGTCTACACGCATAAGGAATATTCAATTCGTGAATGGGTAGATGTTTATTTTCGTAAATATTTACCTGCACAGCAAATGTTTACCTATGACAACTACCATTGTTTCCTAAGACGTTACATTGCAACATTTTTTAATTCTTAAATTATCTAATTTATTATTATTATTATTACTATTATTATTATTATTATTATTATTATTATTATTATTATTATTATTATTATTATTATTATTCCTATTATAAAGAAACTGCATTTAAAAATATTACTCATTTCTAAAATTATA